GAAGAAGTCTGCATCCTTCAAGAAAAACATAATTTTCATGCAGGACAATGCTCCATCACACGCGTCCAAGTACTCCACAGCGTGGCTGGCAAGAAAGGGTATAAAAGAAGAAAAACTAATGACATGGCCTCCTTGTTCACCTGATCTGAACCCCATTGAGAACCTGTGGTCCATCATCAAATGTGAAATTTACAAGGAGGGAAAACAGTACACCTCTCTGAACAGTGTCTGGGAGGCTGTGGTTGCTGCTGCACGCAATGTTGATGGTGAACAGATCCAAACACTGACAGAATCCATGGATGGCAGGCTTTTGAGTGTCCTTGCAAAGAAAGGTGGCTATATTGGTCGCTGATTTGTTTTTGTTTTGTTTTTGAATGTCAGAAATGTATATTTGTGAATGTGGAGATGTTATATTGGTTTCACTGGTAAAAATAAATAATTGAAATGGGTATATATTTGTTTTTTGTTAAGTTGCCTAATAATTATGCACAGTAATAGTCACCTGCACACACAGATATCCCCCTAAAATAGCTAAAACTAAAAACAAACTAGAAACTACTTCCAAAAACATTCAGCTTTGATATTAATGAGTTTTTTGGGTTCATTGAGAACATGGTTGTTGTTCAATAATAACATTATTCCTCAAAAATACAACTTGCCTAATAATTCTGCACTCCCTGTATTACTACTTGCTTTAGGAATACATTTAGAAACCCTTGTGTCAGTTTAGGTTTTTGAAGTGATCAGTTTATTTTTTCTTTTTGCTCCTGTACCAGTGAACAAGAGTCATTTACTATTAGTTTTCACTTAGTTTTGAAGACCATCATGTTTCTGCTGCAAATCTGCACTCGATAAGGTAACATAAGTTTTTTTTTATCATGACTCGTTGGACTTAGATTGAAAGACTTAGATCGGTTTTGCAGTAGTAGCCATTTAATGGGTTATGAAAATTATGCTGTCGATCTAAAATGTAAATTGCAGTTGATTGCCAGTACAATTACTCTCTGCATTTAACCAATTCACTCAGAGAAGCAGTGGGCAGGCACCAATTCAGCGCCCGGGGAGCAGTGTGTAGGGATGGTACTTTGCTCAGGAGTACCTCATGGTAGCCTTTCGATGGATTTATTTTTAATACTATGCTCTGTTTCATTAGTATTAATAATCTAATAATGGCATTTTTTTAATAAGAGCAGACATAATGACACATTGTGTATAGCTGTTCCCTTTCACTCAATTAAGACATACAACATACCATATAGGATATCATGGACACGGATACTATATGCTCTATATGCTCTCATGCCTCTACTTCAGGGAAGAGAGGTTATAACTGTTCATTTCAACTTTTATAGTAACAAAATGATTGGCATGGTTGCAAACATGCTACCTCTTGCTAGTTGCAAGAGGGCTTGTTGACAAAGTAGACACACAAATGCTACATAGCCCTGCAGATGACAGGGCACATGTCCGACTTGGAAAAGATGCTGGCCAAAAGACAAGTGGCCCTGGTAGCTAATGGATTTTCAAGAGCAATAGATTAGTTGAGCGTGGCCGAATATAGTAATCACATCTATGCTCTAAATCTAGTCAAACAAGAAAAGGAGGACAATGCTAGTCATTTATTTTGGTGTAAATGTTTTGGCTAACGTATTAATGCCACGCCATTACCAATCTATATTTAAATTATACACTTACACCAGGGGTGTCCAACTCCAGGCCTCAAGGACCGGTGTCCTGCAGGTTTTAGATAGCATCCTGGGTCAACACACCTGAATCAAATGATTAGTTCATTACCAGGCCTCTGGACAACCTCAAGACATGTTGAGGAGGTCATTTAGCCTTTTAAGGACACATCTTGATACCCTTGAAGCCTGGAGTTGGATACCCCTAGTTTACACTCTTAATATTAACTCGCAAGCTACAAAAAGTCAGGCGCTCACATGTACGCAGATCAACAACATGCAATAATAACTTTATTGTATATTAAGTCAGTACTGGTAATGACATGTACATAACTATTTCTACTGCTAGAAAGAGCATCTGGAGTCTTATTAAAGACTTTATAATAAGTCTAATAAGTGATATCCACTAATCATCAGAGGAATCACTTAAACTTAAATCAAATATGTAAAAACTACAAAACACTTGACAGCATATAAACAAAAAAAATATTGGCTATGACATTGTTTCAGCTAGCATGGTGTTGTGGTTTGTGCTCACAGTTGGAAACTGCTCACTTTCTGTGTGGAGTTTGCAAGTCATGCCTGCTTAAGCTCTCTGCTGTACAATCCAAACACATGCATGTTAGGTTAACTGATGACTCTAAATTGACTATAGGTGTGAATAATTGTGTAAGGTGTAACTGGCCTCTGTGACAGCGAGGATAGGCTCCAGTCTGCATTCAAAATGGATAGATCCAACTGTATCAAGTTATCTTTACAGTCAAATTGTGTGTATTATGGCAATTCTATTAAAGAATAACAAGATGAATTTGCCTACATACTCAAGGTAAAAGAAGACTATAAAGAATGAGGCTACATTTTAACTTCTGATATAATAACTGCTGCATTAATATAGTATTAATGTATTGTAATGTATTCTACCTAACACTCAGAATAGATTATGGTGACTATGGAAATGCGAATCAGCAGTTCTGAAACTGTGTTACATAATCATCATGGAAAATGTTTGTGATTGTCACTGGCAAAGTTGCAAAGGTACCCTGTAACTATGGGAGAAGTCGACAGACTATTTATTCGTTTAGCCTCCATCTCTTCCCAAACAAAATCAACCTAATCACAGAGATGCCGTGTAATCAAGTGTCTTCTGCTGATTTCCCATTTTCATGTCATCGCTCGAATCAATCGGAATGGATGGCAAAAAAATGGGAAACACATGTTGCAGAAGAAAATATTATATGTGTATGGCATTCTGGGCTGTCAGCTCATTTAGAATGAATGTGGCCGTAACATTGAGACAGACAGAAAGACCTTTCTGCTTGTCACATTATCTAGCTCTCATTATTCTAACAATAATGCGGCCTTACTTCGGCGGTAAAGTAAACGATATGAGTCAATAACAGAATGCAAGAAGGAAGAAAAATGTCAAATATTTAAGACATTTTAGCTGAGAATACAAAATAAATGAAAACATTTGTAATTCATGCTTTTTTTTGTACTTTTTTAAAGTTGTTTCCACTAGTGATGGTTTAACAGTGCAGTCGTTTCTATGACCCCTAACAAAAATAAGCATAAGCTTATATTTAGCACACTAATTGGGTTCAATCTATATGTACCAGCTATATGTATCAGCTCACAAGCTGACAGACAGCAGCCACATTTATTCCAAATAAGCAGAAATACACACTCACTCACAAACATAGAAATAGACTCTCTCAAAAACCTCACGGCAAGAAAAACTACCCAGATTTTTGTTTGTGACTCAGTGCTTAGAAGAAATGCTGCTACAAATAAAAGCAAGTGCATGCTGAAAGAAACAGTGCTCTCATAGTAGCTGCGGTAAAAAAAGAAGATGGAAATAAACAAGGTAATATTCACCAAAACAAAATGTAATGTAAATAGAATAATCTCTTCAGAGGAAAAACAAAGGTCCGCAATAGATACGGAGACAAGCTTCAGGTGTTTAGGGTGTACATTTGATGCAGTCCCACTATAAAAAGTAAAGAATGTGAGCAATACTACTCGAACAACACAACACACATGTGAGAGCACAGTTACTACATGCAAACAGTTGCAGGTTTCCTATCAGCCAAGTGGAGATATTGGCAAATTTCCAAACAAATCCATAAAAGCTGATAAAACAAGTAAACCAGAGCCACTCACTACTAAAATGACAACATGCTGACTCATCTGCACTCATCTGCAGCCCACCCTTGCCCATGTAAAACTGACTTAGTCTGGGAAAGTAGAGTTAGATGTTAAAATGAGCTAAATGGCGCCCTCTGATGGTGATGGTTGGTTAAAGCTGCAAATTCCACTCCAAATCAACCAAGCCTTAAACACCAGCCAGATTTACTAAACAGGGTGCACCAGCGTGTGAGTGCAATCTGCAAAAGTTTTTTTCAAAGTTTTTTTTAAAACGTGTATTTCAGTAATAAGTGTAATAAATAAATAAATAATAAAATCAGTTCACCTTCAAGAAGGGAACTCTCAAAAATGCATATGCAACAGTCTCTTGAGGTCTCATCCCTTGCTCACAATCTTGTAACTGTGATGTCGTTGTAAATACTTGTAAAAATACACATCTCTAAATCTTTCCCTAAAACTAAAACAGATAGACTAAAACAGATAAACTAAAAACTTGAGCATAAAGCATGTGCAGCAATCATGGAGTCGGAGCTTGTCATCCAAAAGCACCATAGCAGAGCTGGCTCCACACCGGCACAGCATCGGTTGGAAAGCTGATAGTGGCGTCTCATTTGGACTGATCGCAACACAACCACAGACTCTGACAGCTTTCAGTGACACGACTGTCTACACATGTACCTTTAAAAAAGAATTCAACACACTATTATCACATTGTCATAAAAGCAAGAGGAAAAAGTCCAGTGTAACTGCAGCACTTGGAAAGAATTTTTCCCTATCTCTCTTAGCCGTTAACATGAGACGGCACAAGTGCAGAGAAGTGCTACAAAGCAGCAAGCTCTCCATCTAGTGGATATACAGTGGAAGAAAAGAATTTTCTAAGTCTCACCCAGGCATGTAAGCAGCACAAGACCCAGTTGCCTCATTTAGTTATGCGACTGTTTAAATCACAAAGAAAGCACTTCTCAAGATAAGTTGAGCACCAAAATTCTGCAGCTTTGGAGACAGAGGACTGAATCTAAATAAAAAAAACCTCATCAAAAGTCTCTATTCTTAACATATTAACAGAATTATCAATCACTCTACTTTAAGTGAATGCCTTTTAGAAAGCAACAGGAGTATTACTAATAAGTGCATGTTTATGAAAGCATATGTGTGTATCCTTGGGCAACTCACCGCTCTCGGTGGACAGCTGGCTGTGGAATTCTGGAAACTGTGTTTCCACCGGGACGCTGATGGTGCGACGCAGGAGATGTCCCCTGGATGACGCAGAGCGCCTCTGCTGCAAAAACAAGAAATGCATCTAGCTGAGAATAAGAGTGATTCAAGGGGACACAGAGGCAGAGCAAATAATTCAAGACAGATACAATCCTCAATAAATTCAAGTGAAAAAAAAATCAATAAAATAAAAAGCGCAAAGTAGATAACACAGAAGAATGGTTAAATAAATGGTGGTGTTAAAAAACAAAACCAAAAAACTAATGAATTACACAGACAGGCGTCACTGAGTCTCCTTATCTGTTGTTGTGGATATTCTGGTCACCATCTTTAATGTCGTGCTAAGTCATCAGCACACAATAGCTGTAGCAGTCCTGATAAATTAGAAGTCATTGACTAAAACAGAGCAGGCATTAGTGGCACATCAGTCAGTGTCTGATCATATCATCCGACTGCTTGCATACCAAATGTTTGGCTCCAAACAATTAGTCAGACAAAGGAAGAAAAGAATGGTTGCGGTGAGAAAAGTGGTGAGCTGTGGGAAGAAAAAGAAAACAAGAGAGACAGAAAGGACCTGTTGTCCTCGAAGTGGAGTGATAATAGCTTATCGAACATCCTCACACCTCTCAACTCAATGCAGCACCCTGTCTGTCTGCTTTTCTGTTCCCGTGTTTCATGTCCATCTGTTTATCTCTCTTTCTCTCTCCGAGTTCCTCTCTGAGTCTCTCCCTCTCTTTGCCTCGTGGGACTCGAGTTTTAAGGACAGCTCGAACTGACAGCATCAGTGATAGTGTCTGGTGGCAATAATGACTTTGCAATATTGGCTGTAACTTGAAGCACGTTTCTCTGACACAGTCTGCAGTCTTACTTGTGCTACAGTACTGCAGATTCTAGAACACCGGTTTTAAGCAGCGACTGGAGTAAAATCTGCGGCTTTGTTGTGATAATCAATTATTTAAATCATCTTAATCACCCTCTCATCAAGCTATTAATTTTTCAAGCTCAGTGACAGTGTAATAATTTATCTGAAGAGTGAGCGTACTCTGCATTCGGATGCCTAAAATATTGAAAGACTAGAGATGCGATTTTACATAACCTGTGCTTCCTTTGCTCTACTAAGGTCTTAACCTGAAACGCACTCTCCCAATTGAGGTATTTTTTCCCCCAGTCAATTGAGTAAATATTGTCATGGTCCGCGGCCCGGCGTCTGAGGTGCTGATGGGATGCCCACTCCCGTGGGCGTGGCCGCTGACTCCACACCTGCATCCCATCCCAGGCGATCACCAGGTGGACCATTTAATCCTGCCCAGCCTGCTGCTCCACGCCAGTCCGTAATCGTCCTTCAGCGATCACTGCTCGGCGTGTTTTGAGTCACCAGCCTGTCCACCTGCCTGTCCAGAATTTGGATCACGATCAACCCCAGCCGCCTCGCCCTTTCTGGAGCTTCTCCCCACGGACCCTCACCCCTCCCTCCGGTTCCCTTGGCCCCGCTATCATCGTAAGACGCGTACTCTACCTCCCCTCGTATGCTGCCGGTTTTCCCGCACCCCAATAATTCTTTTTTCTTTTTCTGTTTCAGCCTCCCACAGTCCCGCTCTCGGCGTTTCCTGCGCGATTCTTCTCCCGGTCCCTCGGTTTCTCTGGTTCCGTGCGTTTTCTCCCTTCTACCCTCCCAGGACGCTCTCAGTTATAATAAAGTTTATTTTTTCTCTCGTACCGCTGTGTGTGTGTTCTGCTCCTGGGTCCAGCTTGTGTGATGAACTTCGGTTCTTGACAAAATTCAATTACAGATCTCGTAGCTAATGGCTAGTGATGGCACAGAAGCATAAAAGGTCACCTGATTAAACAGGGAAATCAGTGTAAGAAATGCTAATAAAGCACTGCGAGCACTAATTTGGTTACAGCCGTAACCCCCCTCCCCCCCTGACAAAACCATGCTAACTTGTTGAATTTGTGTCTTGGGCTTTTTTTAAAACTATTTTTTATACCAGTATAAAAGTTCTCATTGTTATTAATTGAGAACCCCTTTTATGGGCAGTACTGTGCAGCTTAGAATTATACACTCACAGCCACTTCTATAGGTACACCTGTTTGATCGCTTGGTAATGCAAATGTCTAATTGACCAGTTACATGCATTTAGGCAGCAACTCTGTGGATTTAGGTATGTAGACACGGTCAAGGCAACCTGCTGAAGTTTAAACTGATGATCAGAATGGGGAAGAAAAGTGACCGAATGTGGCGTGAAGGCTGGTCTGAGTATTTGACAAACTGCTTATCTGCTGGTATTTTCCCACACAACCATCTCTAGAGTTCATAGGGAATAGTCCAGAAAAGACTAAATGTCCAGTAAGCAGCAGTTCTCTGGCTGGAAATGTCGTGTTGGTGCCAGAGGAGAATGGCAAGACTGTTTCAAGCTGATAGAATGGCAACAGTTAACTCAAATAACCACTCTCTACAACAAAGGTATGCAGAAGAGCATCTCTGAATACGCTTCTGCTGCAGAAGACCACACTGGGTGCAATTCCTGTGAAATGGAGAGAAATGGAAAGCATCACAGCTGTACTATTACTGACTTTATGCCCATGTCTTTATGAGCACAGTGCAATCATTGTGCAGATTTAGTGTAATGACTGAGTGGATCACAGTGTGCTCTATAGACCCAAGGAAGGCTTCACAACAAGCTTGGATAGTATAGACTGTAGAAAACCTTCAGATATCACATCTTCATTTCAGTTTTATCACCTACAGTTCGCAGTGCAGCCCTCAAAAATTTTAAACGCCTGACAAATTTAAGACTGGTATCCACTCAGCTTTGCCTCTTTTTGCCTGCTGTTTGTTTCTAATTTGTCATGTGTTAAGGAAGAAACAAATTGGCTTTACAAATCACAAAGGACTTGCATGGATTACGCGAGCATCGGCTGTCGTCACGCTATGTTTTTCACATCTTTCTCTTAACGGTTTGCAACGCACAAATAAGGAAGAGGAACAGGCGTAAAAAGACAGGACTGATGAAAGCAGAGATTAAGTGAACCGAACAAGACAGAAAAACAGAATACGACAAAAGATGAAACGAAAAGTCAGAAACAAAAACAATAAAGAAAAGCGAGTATTTACCAAAAGCCCTACAGCAAACATCATCACAGCAAAGAAAGCAATCAAAACTTTTGTTCAAAGACTGAGTCTCGCTGTACTTCTACGCATTGATTACTTTTTTTCTTTTCACTTCCACATTTTTTTTTCACTTTGGTAGCAAAGCTAAAGGATGAACACAGAAAAATTATACAGCACAATTACAGCTTAAGACTTAATTTACTTTAAAAAAAAGACAAGCCCACAATAAATGGAGCTGTAAACCTTTTACTGAGGTTGAAGTCATGTTTTCTTCTAATCTTCTTATGTCACTTTTTATTTTTGAACACGGAGAATGAAGAAACTGGATAGTTTTTTTTCATTCCTTCAATTTGAATTGCTTTGTTTTTCCACTTGCTCACCTCTGACTGAGCTTCAGTATCAGGGCACACATCACGATTGTAGGCCTGACCAGCTAAATACCATGCTGGACCATGCTGGTCTGAGCTGAACGTATATGTAACCCTGTATGCCCAAAGAACATCATGCAGTGCTTCTTTTGTTCATAAAAAATATAAAAATGTTAAGTATTTCAACTGATAATATATTGAATACATTATCAAGTTAGATTTAGCTTTTAGCCAAATTTACATTGCTGATGTTGATTTGCTAACAATAGTTTTTAGTAGCATAATGCTTGGCTAAAGCTAACTGAATGCAACAAAGAATAAAAAGCACACACACACACACACACACACACACACACACACACACACACACACACACACACACACACACACACACAAAACAGAGCAAAGGCTCATAAAAAATACCAAAAACTTACAAAATACAGGTGAAGTGTTTGTGGGGTGACAACAACGTGACAGTAGAGCTGCTAAAGTGACAAGCTAATATTAAACGGCTAATAGCAAACATGTACCTTTCTCTCTCTGTGCAATCATTTGCACATTTTTATTTCTGTCACCTCCATAGTTATCATTCCACATTATCTTTTCGCCAAATACACTTGCGTGGTGTTTTATGAGATTTTGTTTTATTCAACGTCTTTTGTATTTATTTATTTTTTGCTTTTGTAGCATTTACATTTTTTTCTATTTGCTGTTGTTTTCTTAAGTTGCAGCATGTTTGACCTTTCAGGTCCGCTATAGTGGCCAAAAGACAAATAGGACATCCACAGTCTGAACAAACCACCATATCAATGTTGAAAAACAGAGGCCTGAAACAATGTTGATGAATGCTATGAAAAGTAATTAATATGTGGACAGAACCTGCTTGTTGTATATCTATCACATTTAGCAGACACATTATATGGGCTACGCCTTCTAATTTTTGAATTCAAGTGCTCAGTCCCATTGACGCAGGTGACTAAAAATCAAGCATCGAGCTATGCAGTCTGCTTTTACAAACATTTGTAAAAGAACAGGTCATTCTGTTTAGGTGTGGCACTATAATAGGATACTCCGCGATCAGCTGTAAGCAGTATTATTGCAATGTATAAATGTTTAACAACCACAGAAACTCCATAAAGTTACAGAGTGTGGGTTAGCATGACAGAGCATCTCCTCTAAGTGCAACATGTAGTCCAGTACATTTGTGTGTAGAGTGTCAATAATAACAGACTGAACTGCTTTTTTTTTCTTGCTTTCCAGTTCTTTCCAGATCTATCAACATCATTACATGCATCTGCACATAAACATCATAAAATACTCATACAAAGAGCAATCTCTACAGGAATGCATGCTAAATGAGCATTAATTAAGCTATTGTCTTCTTGTTATTTAGTCAAACCACTCACTTTGTGACTAAGTATAATCCTCACCTCAGAAGAAAATGTTACTAAAATAGTTGCCATTACATAAATGTCCATTAAGTGTATATAATGGTTTGACCCTGAATTTATGATTGCTTGTTCACTAGAGGTGAGCTTGTTTAGCTGTCAGAGCCAGGTCATCACACCGTTACGGGTTGCTGACATGACAGAAATCCAGCCGTGCTAAGAGATAACCTTTTCAAGGCTGGGTCTCTAGATGGATGCATTTAAAAGCTGTTGTCCTTTTGTTGTTGAGAAACAAAAAGCACTGTGGAGGAAAGACTGCCAGTGGGTCGATTGAAATTACTCCTCCCTGCAATTATTGCTCTGTTTCAGTGTGGCATAGCCGGGTAATTGCATACAAAGAAACACTGAAGCCATGCTGTTCTTCCCAGTTTCGGTAGCCACACTGTTATATTAAAAGGTTTGGTAAATCCAATAGCCATGCCTTGTTTTTGTGCGTTTGGCCATCACTATTTTAAAAGTTAATGCAAAGGTTCCTGTAGTCCCTTCGATAGGGGATGTTGCAGGCTGCTGCTGCTGGCTCTTAGATCAAAACATCTGTTGAAACTGAAACATGAGCTGCCTGGCAACATTATCCCTAAGACACCACTGCAGTAAAAGACAGCTCTATGAGGACAAAGGAGATGTTCTGAGCATCCTGTATATTCAATTACTTTTTCAGAAGTCCCAGTTTGAGTAATTTATTCCAGTATTTATTCATTTAAAAGGGGTCTTATATAATGTGATTTTTTTGTGCCATTCATTGCAGGCTTGAATCAGCCTCAGCCTCAACTGTAATCATCATATCATTTTATCTATAGCTGCTTTATACAGAAAGTGAGCCGAGCCGCACTGTGGCTCAATCTGGTACTGCAAAACACACACACACACACACACACATGCACACACACACAAATCCATGCATTGTAAGGTCAGTCTGATCATAATAAATTATTGAAAACATGTTACTCTGTGTAAATAATCATTTACTTTGAGCAAACAATTAGACAGTAGTGTTTTTTTACCATTAATATTAAACTGGCTGCGTAGGTCGGTAGTATCACAGGCCTTGAATATTACAATATTATCTCTGCCAAGGAGGTTATGTTTTACGTAGCATTTGTGTGCGTGTCATTCTCTCTGTCTGTAAACATGATAGCTTAAAAGATTTTGAGTGAATTCTGATAAAACTTTGTGGGAGCGGAAAGTGGGGAAACTATGATTCTTACAAGTGTGGTGTGTATTGTCAACATATAGAAAGTACTCTATAAAATTTTAAAACATCATGTATAATTTGACGTCTGACCTCTCCTTCATGGTCAACAAGGACAACATTAGTGTCTGTCCTCACATGTGCGCTTATGGAAGAATGGTTAAAAATCCCCATAAACACTCCTAAACCTTGTGGAAAGCCTTCCCAGAAAAGTTGAAGCTATATTAGCTACAAAGGGTGAGCTGACATCATATTAAACCCTGTGGATTAACGATGGGCTGTCACTCAAGTTCCTATTTGTGTGAAGGCAGACGAGTGAATACTTTTGGCAGTATATTGTCCAATCCCTGCTACATCTAGGGATGTATGCATTGAATGTGATGAAGACACCAAAGCAGCTTAAAAACCATTAAATGTGCTTTGTTGTGGGTATGTGGACACTTTGATTACAGGCTTACAAAAAGTTGCTTCACAAGGACAGGTTATTGCTGAGTGGACAGTGCAATTTAGATTAGCGTGTTGACTCCTGATTTCTGCTGAACCGGACCTCTAATCTTACCGAGACTTGCATAATCCGGCGTGACACTAATAAAAACAATGGAGGCAAAGAGCCAGCTCACCCAGCTACTTACAGACCCTGCACGAAGATGAATTTAAATGTGTTACTTCAGGTTTCACTTAGAATGTTTGGTTTGCCCGAACATTCTAAAAAAACTTGCAAATTTGGAGATGCAATAAATCTATGTGGAGACAAATTAATGTAAGAAAATAAATTTGTAAAGAGGGGGAAAAAAGGAAGAAGAAGAAAAACAATAGCGACACAGAAAGATGACAGACAAGAGACTGGACTGTAAAGTCTGCTCTCACCACCTCCTCTTCATTCAGAAGCAGCATCTGACAGTCAGCAACCACACAGTACTTTGGGTTCCACACACTTCGCTCTTCATAGGAATGACCACGTGCCATCCGGTGTCTCAGCGGACACCGCGTGTCTGAAGAGGGAAAGAAGAGACAAAGCACAGCAACAAAGAAAGATATCAATTATAAAGGCGCAGAAGAGGCATTGTGTATTTAGTATTTGTGCTCTTGATAATAGAGTAGAATAAGACATCATAATTATATTCTTTAAAAAGTGATGAATTAAGCTGAAAAGAGGAGGATTCAGATTTAATGGGCCCCACATCTCTGGGAGAAGAACTTGTCCAAATAACTGTTTTGCTGAGCAAACGTCCAAACTCTCCTTAATCACAAATGCCACCGGAGAGGTAATGACTACCGCACGCTCTCCACTTTTTTTTCACTTCAATCATTCTGTGGATGTCAGGTGAAGAAAGAACCCATTAAAAAAGAAACTGAGACATGCGTAAATTGGATTCTCTAGCATCTGACATAAATCTCAGAAAGGCACTGCATATGTAATTCATCAAGCCCCACACTCTGTATTACCGTTACACTACGTCAATCAACACTGAGCACATTGAAAGACCTTTATTCGACTTCACTTGAGTGATTAAAATGTAAAAAAAAACAAAACACTTAAGCTTCTCAGCTGTACTCCCTGCACACTGCATGGCTAGCATCCACCACAACATTTCACTGATAGTAACAATCACCTGCTGTGTTGTGTGAATGTCAGCCAGAGGCAAGTGAATGCAGCATATGGGTCAGGGTGTGCTACTCCAATGTTACTGTATATTCCCACGCTTTCACCAAACCAGGTAGCTACATGCAGGGATGCTGTGTAATAAATGTTGTTGCATCACTCAACACACTGTGTCCTCTTCCTTTAGAGCAGGGTTGGGCAATTCCAGGCCTTGAGGGCCGGTGTCCTGCAGGTTTTAGATATCGCTCTGGGTCAGCACACCTGAATCAAATGATTAGTTCATTACCAGGCCTCTGGAGAACTGCAAGGCATGTTGAGGAGGTCATTTAGCCATTTGAATCAGCTGTGTTGGATCAAGGACACATCTAAAACCTGCAGGACACCGGCCCTTGAGGCCTGGAGTTGCCCACGCCTGCTTTAGAGGATTCACGCAAAACAATCTCTCTCGTGTTGGTTTTGCAGTATGCTCTGGGTCATTATCCGTTTGCACTGTGAAGCACCTTTCGATCAGTTTCACTGCATTTGGTTGAATCTCAGCAGAGAGTGTAGCTCTGTACATTTTAGAATTCATCCTGCTTCTTCTAGCAGCAGTCAAGTCATCAGTAAACACTGGTGACCCAGTTCCACTGGCAGCCATACATGTCCATAACAAAACATTCCCTTCTTCATGTTTAATGCTCTTTTAGTTCTCAACACTTTTCTCATCCCATCATTCTGGTGTCACTTAATCTTGAATGGGTTTTATTAATCATTTCAATCATATCAGTTCATTTGTACAACAGTTTAATTTTTTTTCTCACAGACCTGGACAGGCTCTTTTAGTGGTTTCCCAGCAATGTCATGATCCTGGGCCATGTTGGCCCAGTATTCTTAGTTTCATGTATTTTTGTATTTTGTTCCTTATTTAGGCCATGCTTCCTGGGTTGCCCTGTTACGTTTTCCCCTTGTGACTCTTACACCCTGTGTGCCCCTCTGTGTATTTGTGAGCCCTCGTCTCTCCTTGTGTTTTATTCCACGTTTTCCCCAGCCTGTTATGTCTGTGTTCTCCCCGTGCTCTCTCCTCCTGTCTGAACCTCTGTACTTCCTGTTTTACTTTGCCCGTCTCCCGTCAGTGTTGCGTTCACTCCTGCCGTGTCTTGTTATGATTATCAGTGTCACCTGTGTTCCCCGTGTGCTCCCACTTCCCTCGCTAACCCTCTGTGTATTTATGTCTGCGTCTCCCTCAGTCCTGTGTCGCGTTCTCCCTCATGCTGTGTGTGATTCTCCCCGTGTCTCCTGGTATGCATTATAATTAGCTTTTTCCAGTTTAGTTTTGTATTGCTTGTGTTCTGTTTTCCCAGCAATAAAGCTGTGTTTTTGAGTTCAAGTTCTGTCCCCGTGAGTTTGCGTTTGGGTCCTCTCCTGCCTGCCACACAGCCGAAACATGACAAGCAAAGCCTAATCTTGCCTTCCTGTTCTAGTTGTAAACTCTGCATTTTCATTCATGAACTTTCCTTGTCCTAGCGCACCGCTAGGACAAGGAAGCGGGGCAAGCGCGGAGGTGTCCGAGTCAGGCTTGAGGCTAAGCCAACTCGCCCAGCCATACCATCGATCCTCTTAGCCAACGTACGATCTCTGGACAATAAAATGGACAACATACGACTTCTGAGATCAGCGAATCGCAAAGTAAGTGACTGTTGTGTGCTAGTTTTCACCGAGACATGGCTTAATGACAACATTCCGGACTCGGCCATACAACTGGAGCAGCTAGCATGCTACAGAGCCGACAGGGCTCTCGTAGACGGAGGTAAGACCCGAGGTGGCGGGGTCTGTGTTTACATCCGTGACGAGTGGTGTCGGGATGCCACTGTAGTACGCAAACACTGCTCATCACTGGCGGAGTTCATGATCGTGAAGTGTCGCCCTTTCTATTTGCCCAGGGAGGTAAGTTCGATCTTGTTGGTCGCTACCTATATACCTCCATCTAGCAACAACAGCGATAGAAATGCGGCGCTGAACGAACTGTATCAGGCCATCAGTGAGCAACAAACAGCACACCCAGACGGTTTCATCATCCTCGCAGGAGACTTTAATCATGCTGATCTTAAAACTGTTCTCCCAAAGTTTCATCAGCATGTACATTTTCCAACAAGGGGAGACAACATATTGGACTTGGTCTACACACAGGAAAAAGGAGCATACAAAGCCATCCCCCTCCCCCACATCGGCACCTCTGATCACCTCACTGTTATGCTAATGCAAGCATACAGACAGAGAGTGAAGGTCATCAAACCTGTTATGAAAGAGGTAAGAGTGTGGCCACAGGAGGCCACCTCTGCTCTTCAAGACTGCTTTGGGTCAACTGATTGGGACATATTCAAGGAAGCAGCCACCTACAATAACATCATAGACATCGAGGAGTACACAGACACGGTGAGCTCATACATCACCAAATGCATTGATGATGTAACACAGGTGAAAAGTATCACAACTCGAGCCAACCGGAAGCCATGGCTAACAGGAGATGTCCACAGGCTGCTGAAGGCCAGAGACAAGGCCTTCAGAGCTGGGGATGAAATAGGCCTGAGAACAGCGAGAGCCAACCTGTCCCGTGGCATCAGGAAAGCGAAACAGGACTACACACACAAGATAACCTCCCACTTCAATGATAGCAAGGATGCAAGAAGCCTATGGCAAGGCATCCAGGCTATTACAGACTACAAGCCTGTAGCGCGTAGCTGTGAGAGCGACACCACTCTGCTCAACAACCTGAACAGCTTCTTTGCACGATTTGAAGCACAGAACAACACACGCCCACAGAAAACACCACCACCTCCACACGACCAGCCTCTGTGCCTGTCTGCTGCCAGCGTGAAGAGAACACTCATCACCATCAACGCCCGGAAAGCAGCGGGTCCAGATAACATCCCTGGTAGTGTGCTGAAAGACTGCGCAGAGGAGCTGAAGAATGTCTTCACAGACATCTTTAACACCTCCCTGAGGCAAGCCACTGTCCCATCATGCTTCAAGACTGCCACCATCATACCTGTGCCAAAGAAACCATCCCCAGCCTGTTTCAATGACTACCGCCCCGTGGCACTGACACCCATTATTATGAAGTGCTTTGAACGACTAGTCATGTCACACATCAAATCCACCCTACCTTCCACCCTGGACCCACACCAGTTCGCATACAGAGCGAAACGATCCACAGAGGATGCAATCTGCTCTGCCCTCCACCCAGCCCTAACTCATCTGGACAAGAAAGACTCATATGTGAGAATGCTGTTCATAGACTTTAGCTCAGCATTCAACACCATAATACCACAACAACTCATCTGTAAACTGGACAGACTGGGCCTCAGCACCTCCCTCTGCAACTGGCTGCTGGATTTCCTCAGCCAGAGGCCTCAAGCGGTGCGTGTGGGCAACAAGGTCTCAAACAGCATCACCCTGAGCACGGGGGCTCCACAAGGCTGTGTGCTCAGTCCTCTGCTCTTCACCCTGTTGACACATGACTGCACACCAACCTACAGCTCCAACCACCTTGTGAAGTTTGCGGACGACACAACGCTGGTGGGGCTCATCACCAAGGGCGATGAGACCCACTACAGGAAAGAGGTTGAGCTCCTGACCACGTGGTGCAGAGACAACAACCTCCTGCTAAATGTCAGTAAGACCAAGGAGATTATTGTCAACTTCCAGAGAGGCCACACCTGTCACCCCCCATTGACCATCGACGGCGCTGCGGTGGAGAGGGTGAGCAGCACCAAGTTCCTGGGAGTGCACATCAGTGAGGACCTCTCTTGGACCACCAACACAGCATCACTGACCAAGAAAGCACAACAGCGCCTCTACTTCCTGCGCAAACTCAAGCGGGCAAGTGCTCCACCACCCATCCTGACTACATTCTACAGAGGAACTATTGAAAGTATCCTCTCCAGCTGCATCACTGTGTGGGGCGGTAGCTGCACTGACTATAACAGAAAAGCCCTACAACGCATTGTGAGAACAGCTGAGAGGATAGTTGGTGTACCACTCCCCTCCCTGCAAGACATTTACACCACTCGCCTCACCCGCAAAGCCATCACAATTGTCAACGATGCAACCCACCCCGCGCACTGTCTGTTCAGCCTCCTGCCCTCTGGAAAGAGATACAGAAGTCTCCGCTCCCGCACTACCAGGCTCACCAACAGCTTCATCCACCAGGCTGTGAGACTGCTGAACTCTCTTCCCTCCCGGCTCCCAGCCAGCAGAATCACCAGATTGGCAGAAGTATAGTAGACAGATTGGACTCTACCCCCCCACACTCTCCAACAAGGAAACACTCTC